TGTCTGCTTGTCTTCGACACCCCCTTAGCCTGGGTGGTAAAGCCCTTCAGCGGCGGCAGCAGCGCCCTGGCCCCCTCCCTCGCCGTCTGCGCCATCAACGCATCAATCACCACCAGAGCGGCCATCGCCTCCACGATCGGCACTGCGCGCGGCACAACGCAGGGGTCGTGTCTGCCCTTGGCCTCCAGCACGCCTTCCTCGAATCCGTAGGTGGCGGTGGTCTGGGCCTGGCCGATGGTGGCGGGCGGTTTGAAGGCGACGCGGAAGTAGATGGGGGCGCCGTTGGAGATGCCGCCTTGGATGCCGCCGGAGTTGTTGGTCTTGGTTGTTAGGCGCTGTTTCTGCTTGGGCTTTTCGTTTGGGGTGGGGGTTGAGGAGTGGGTAGAGGCGCCGCGTTGCGTGCATTTTCTTCTTCTTCCTGTGCTGGTGCAGGAGAGGAGAAGATAAACGGATCATTGTGTACTGAGCCGGGGACTTCGCACCCGCCGAATCCGGAGCCGATTTCGAATCCCTTGGTCGCGGGTATGCTGAGCATGGCGTGCGCGAGCATGGCTTCTAGTTTGTCGAAGCAGGGTTCGCCGAGGCCGATGGGGCAGTTCCTGATGACACAGGTCACGGTTCCGCCTATGCTGTCGTGGTTGTCGCGGTGCTGTTCGATTACTTTGGCCATTCGGGCCGAGGCGGAGGCGTCGGGGCAGCGGACGGGGATGAAGGAATCGACGGTTTCGCGGGTGATGGTGGAGATGAGGGAGAGGAAGGCTGGATTGGTAGAGGGGGATGGGTGCTCGGGTGTAGGTGGGAAGAGGTGTTCCCGGCCGACGGAGGAGACGTAGGCGATTATCTGGACGTTGTGGGAGAGGGTTAGGTATTTTTCTGCTATGGCTCCAGCTGCTACTCGGCCTGATTCAGAAGGTAAGCTGTGCGGAAGCGAGGGTTGGTATTTAAAGGAAGATATACCTATGGTTTCTCGAGCACTACTTCGCCCACCGCCACTACTGGCCTTGACACCATATTTCTCTAGATAGGTGAAATCGGCATGACTGGGTCTAGGGTAGAGATCCATGGTGCTATTGCCGTAGTCTTTTGGTCTCTGGTTCTCATTCAACACCAGCATCCCAATTGGAGTGCCCAGGGTAATGCCGAATTCGGTGCCAGATTGGACCATGACCCGGTCCTTTTCGTCTCGAGGTGTTGTCAGGGCACTTTGGCCCGGTCTTCGTCGAGTCATCTGGGGTTGGATATCTGCCTCGGTGAGAGGCATGCCCGGAGGACAGCCATCCACGATACAGCCCACCGATGGACAATGCGACTCTCCATAGCTAGGCATATGTGAGAGGTCATGTTTGGTGCGATGACAACGGAAAGGCTTACGTGGTGACTCGGAAATACTGTCCAAAAGTCGACATCTGAGAAAGAGGTGCGGTCTGTCAATCTCCTGCCAGCGCGACCAAAGACCCAACTCCAATGAGAGGAAGACTGCCGAAGAGAAGCTGAGGTACTGTATTGAAAAAGCCCAGGTTCTAGTGTACTGGAATAGTAATTGAATTTGCCTTAATCACCCGAGCAGCTTGTGGCATGCAGAAACCGTATGCACAATTTCAGAAATAGAGGAAATTTTGAACGTAGGTATGGATTTGGGAACTTCGATTTGTACAGCTGACGGCTGACTGTGTTGTGTAGTCAACAAGATGATAGGATGATGGGATGGTAGGATCCTGTTCTAAATAAAACTCGTTTCTGCGTAGGGCTGATGGATGTGCTTACTACCTACAGTACTACGTCGTACATAGTCGAAGTTTTCCAGGCTTTGCCCAACGCGGTACAGTAATTCATAGACAACTTCAAGTACTTACCCATATTCTGTCACCATTGCTCGCGAAAGGATATTCGGAATACACTCAAGTTGATAGATCCAATAGCAAAAAGAATTCTATGCCTGCTAGCAGAGCACATCACTGCATCCGGACGACCGTTATGTTCCTAAAATGAGGACTGAATTTGTGAACGAACTCCTGCTGTGCAACAGCTGCCCCCTTGGATTTCACTGGGCATCATATTTCGTAGCTATGACACGCTAATAATCATCCCCTCTGCTGATCACCTCCTTCACAGTCGGGCGCAGCAAGATTGTGTGCTCGAATTGCGCCGTATAACTCCCCTTGACATCACAGAGAGGTGGATATGCTTCCACAATCCCTGATTGGACCAGATGATTCAAACCGAGCAGATATTTGTCTTGGCCCAAACGGTCCAGATATCTTCTGCACCATGGCAGAGTGCCGAAATTCTTGTTGATGGTGTTGAGCAAGCTGCGCGCCGAGGATACCCGCAAGGCGACGTTGGGAGCGTCGACTCTTTTCGCGTAGTGCGAGATTTCCATCTGTCGAGGTTAGTCCAGCTCAATCAGTGTGGATGGGTCTGCTAACATCGTCCTTGACGTACCCCTTTCCCGTACTCCCAAAGGTTTCGATAGCAAAGGTCTCTCCCTCTTCCATCTTGGTCTGATCACCTCCTTTGACGATGGGCACACTTTTGCCGCCATGTATTTCCCATTGACCGATGTTGTGGCCATTGAGATTGCGGATCGGCTTCACAGGATATGTTTTGCCCTCGATTTCCACTTCGTAGCTCTCCATTGTCTCCTGGATGGCGGCTCCAATATCGCCCATGCGCACATCAATGCCTGCTTCTCGGACCCCAGTATTTGTGGCGTCTTTGACTGCTGCGAGAAGATTGTCATACTGCGGATCAAATGCCATGGTCCATGCAGAATCTACAATTCTTCCATTGATGTGAATGCCAACGTCAATCTTCAAGACGTCCTTCTGATCAACAATCCATGGCTTACTGGTAGTGTTGGGAGTGTAATGTGCGGCACAATGATTGATGCTCAACCCGGTAGGAAAGCCCACGCCGCCTTTGATGTTGTCTCCCTCTTCCAGACCGGGATGTCCTGTCAGAGCTCTGGTGGCGTCTTCGATACCATTAGCGATCTCGTGAAGGGATTTGCCCGGCCTGATCAGATTCTTCTGGGCCCACTGCCGCACTTGACGGTGTGCTTCTGCTCCACGGCGATAGTCGGTCAGGACATCATTGTTCATGCGGTCAAGATGCCGCTTCTCCTCGTTTGTGGTTCTGAAAGCATTTTCATTCTTGTACTCGACCTCTTCGCCGGTCGGATACTGGTTATTTGCGAATAGTTGTGCGATAGGAACGCGAGGCGGATCGGTTTGTGCCTTTGGTGCCGCCCCCTTCTTCTTCTTGGGCTTCCTCTTTTTCTTCTTCTTGGTTGCTAATAACATTAGCCTCTACAAAATGTGGAGAGTGGTCATGACAACCTCCAGTCGCACCATTTTCACCCGCATCGGCCTCGTCTTCCTTGTCGTCGTCTGAATCATCGTGTTCTGATGTGCCATTTTCTGCCCGGGCCTTTGATGCCGATGTGATCTTGCCTGCTGTAGTCGATCCGTTCACTAAAAGACATCAGATCTTAGCCATATCAAATTTAGAAGTAAACCACCGCACAGTGCAGCTGATCAAGCTTGTCCGCAGTTTGAGCTGCCATGCTGGGCCACTCTTCTCTGGGTCTGTTCTATGCAAGTATTGATATTCCGCAAGAGAATTTATGCAAGGTAATGTAAAGAAGCTACATTGTAGCATGCATACATCAAACACCTCCCAAAACGCCCTGGCTAGTGCCGATATGCTCTTTTATCTCCGATAGTTCCGAGGTGTCATTTCTCCATGCAGACCACAGTTTTAAATAGGATCAAGGTATAGGATGAAGGTATCCTGCTTCATTTGTGGCATACGTCGAGTATCGTACAGGACAAATCTAATGTATAGCTTATGAACACAATGAATCGTATTTCACTCGGAGAAGAGCAGATTTGATGAAGGCAATATTATCGGGACGGGCATTTTATTAGGCTTCCAGACTGGTACCATAAAGAATGAAGAGGTACTTGGGAGAAGGTCTTGTTCCTAAGAGCAATCTAAGCATTTTGAACATTTCGGCCGTACTCATACGGTCCTCTCCCTTTCAGTATTTATTCTTTGTTGGAACCAGACAGCAGTGCTGCTTCCAGGAAACAAGTCCTTGTTCTGTCGACCGCCAACACCGACCCCTGAGTTGGACAATTCATCCTCCGTCAAAGCAGGATGGCCTCTGCCTCCAACTGTATGCTGGAAGATTGGATTGCCGGTACAATGAAACCCCCGTAGCCTGCTGACGAGCGAGAAAACATGGCCTCTTCAAGTCAGCTGCCGTCTTCAACAACCAATCTGATCAGTGCTCGGGACGTATAGATGATCCTGCTGTGCTGGCGATACTTCCAGATAGAAGGGCTTATGAGCGTGCGACCAAGATATTGCTTGAATCTGTACAAAATAGAACCGTGCGTTCACTGATCATCGACGTCTTCTCTGATAGTTTGAAGACAATGTGGTAAGTGGCCGTTGGTTTTGCAGGTCTTGGCTAGGTGCTATTCATTGCACCGAGAGAAGTCTCGTTGAGAAAGGAACTGGAGGCGGACTTTGAATGGCGGGAAAGGCAACAGAAGCGATGGCCCACAGGTAAAGATGCGTAGACGGCCTGATGCGTAGAAGTAGATTGAGGCTGAAGCCTCAAGAAAATAGGTCCAACTGGCCTGGCCGTCACTGATGGATGCTCCTTGCGATGCGCCACCGCGGAAGACATTCGTTAATTTAGTACCTTGTCACAGCTTAAGACTGCAATGCATCTGCAAACGATATACACGTTGATGCTGATGCGTCTTGCGACGAAGCTCCCTCACTCGTGGGTTGCAATACTTGCCTTGAAAACAACGATAAAACTACCTTTGCTTGGGTGTCCTGTCTATATACTGGGCATCCATCCGATCCTGGGAGGGAGCCTGACGTATCCAGGTCCATACCAACGATATAATAGTCTTCAGCTTGTGTAGAAGACCTTGGACAAGGTGAGAGAGACCTTCCGCTTGGTAAAAGCAGCGAAGACCTTTTTGGAGGCACGAGCAGCACTTGGCGGACGGCAATTATGCAGTGGACAGTGGCAGTGATCGGATAACTATGTAACTTGGTATAGTAAGTATCTAACTTACGTAGCATGTCCCAAGCCCACCCAAATATTGGAATCAAATACTGGAATCCCAATCCCACACATCACAACGCACAGAATATAGAATATCCGATCGACATGAGGCATGATCTCTCGCCTCATTGCCTCACCCACCCTCTATCTCCCCCACCGACGGTCCTACCAATGCATCTGCCAACTCGCAGCACCGACTCCAACTCTCCGCCTCGCCGGCGCGCGACTCTTCTCCACCACAAGATCCCACTCCGATGACTTCATCAACCACTATGAAGTGCTCAAACTACCCCAAAACTGTTCGCAGGCCGAGCTAAAGAAGTCAGCCAGCCCTGTTCCTTCCAACCCCATCCACACATTCACATCTTCCCTCTCATTCCGCTAACAAGAAACACCCCTTTCCCCAACCCAGACAATTCTACACCCTCTCCCGCCAGACCCACCCAGACGTCAACAGAAGCGACCCCGACGCCTCCGCCCACTTCGCCCAGATCTCCGAATCCTACTCCATCCTCGCCGACCCGGGCCGACGGAAACGCTACGACCGCGACGTCTTGCGCGTGCACCACCACCACCACCACC